TGCACTGCGCTGCTTAGGGTTATGTGTGGCATCTCATGTCTATATCTTGTTAATTATGGTTTCTGTAACAATCTCTGTTCATCTGACAACGGGTGACGTACGCGCGATACTCCCTTAACTGTCGCCAGCTATCACTTCCCTTCGTGATTGTTACGGTCGGACTGTGTCGTCTGGCCTTGCCGTTATCCCTCTCAGTAATGGGCATCAGCATTGGTCAGCGCGCTGAGGCTGGCATCACTGTTACCCATCAATGGGCCCGGCCGGGCTGGCATCGCCGTTATCCATCGCGGCCAGGCTGGCATCACTGTTGCCCATCGCGATGGGCCCGGATGGGCTGGCATCGCCGTTATCCATCGCGGCCAGGCTGGCATCACTGTTGCCCATCGCGATAGGCCCGGATGGGCTGGCATCGCCGTTATCCATCACAATAGGCTGGCATCACTGTTATCCATCACGATAGGCTGGCATCACTGTTGCCCATCGCGATGGGCCCGGCCGGGCTGGCATGAAGCCAAAATTCACTTTGTGTGTTTTCAGCGCACGGACTGAAAAGTAGGTTTTGGACGCTGCCAACGCAACGGACTGTACCATTCTCAGCCATGACGCTTGTACATAGTGCTTAACGCGACTCCATGCGCTCGACGCGACTGACAATCCGATTGTCATCGTCAGCAGTGCTGCTTCTACACCCACTCTACCACCAACAGTATCGCTGTGCCTGAGTGCGCGCATCCGTAGAGCAGCCTACGCGATGAACCCAACTCTACCCGCCTCAAAATACCTACGACGAAGACGCGGCCCTTTTGGCTGACCTCCATGACGCAACCACCACCTTCTGTATGTGCTGACATCCCTTGTTCCATGACCCTATTGCTGACTTCGTTCTCTCAACAGACACCTACGCCTCGCCGATTCCTCTTATCCAAGCGACCGCAGGCATCGCAACAGCAAACCCCTGGCAGCGGACCTCCAGTCTTCGCTGGTAGCCAACGCTTCCAGACTACACCGCGCTTCGCCCCTCCGTCGGCAACACAGCGACCGCCCGCCACGCCTGTTTTTCCAGGGACTTTGCGCCCGTCTAGAAATAGGGACCCTATTCACGATGCCCTGGAAAGTTCCCCGACAGACACTCCTGTCTCTCCGACGCGACCAGTATTAGCGACCGGGACCCAACGACATCACAGGATCGAGATCGACTCGGATAACGAGAGCAACACACAACATGAGCAAGAGGGGGCTTGCCTACCACCGGCTACCTTTGTAGCAAATGATTCGATCGAGATCGAATCTGAGCCCTCTAGCGTGTTGCACAGCGATATCGAAGAGAGAACGCCGAAGAGGAGGCGGATATCGATCTCGCCTGTGCCGAGTTGGCACCATGACGCCCAGGAGGACGTGGTCATGAGTCACTACGATGTTCTCGTTATGAAAAATAATGAAAATTGGAACGACCACGAAAAGCTTCCCGACGCCAAGGGCGAATACCAGTCCGATCTCGATGCGCCGCATATGGGAGAGGAAGACTTGAGCATTCCCGACCGCCACGAGGGGGACATGCCGAAAACGCAGCCAACTTTTCGTCGAGCACCTCGCTTCAAAGTCTTGGATGCCGAAACCTCCCGTCAAGAGGGCTTGCCAGAGGCTTTCTCACCGCAGAGACGCGGAGCAAAGTACGTCGCCGGAGGACTCGCGGCGGAATTACAGAGCTGGCTTGCGGAAGTCAGGGGCTGGACTGGTGGCGACCGAGCGGAAAATCCGGTCATGAAAATCGTCATTGACCAGCTACGAGCTGGAAACAGGATGTACCTCGTCAAGGGCCGGAGGATCGTTGGGGACGGGGAGGCAAGCGAAGAGATCGCCGCGCGGCTGATGTTGGCCGGCGAGGGGAGGCTGACAGGATTAGGTCAGAAAGCTGCGGTCATCGTGGGAAGTACGGTCGCGATATCGCAGCCCGCGTGGGAAGTTGAGCTTGATGGATCACGGTGGGTTGTCGCGTGCGACTGGGCTCTCTCGTAGATGATGACTTTTTGGAATACACGAACACCCCAGTCCCAATAAATTCAGTGAAAGCCGATTGACGAACCGACATTTGCAAGGCCAAGCTGCAACTGGGAGCATTCGCCCCCTGGATTTGGGCTAGACCAAGTGGAAAAAGTACGCTTGAACTCTTGCACACATTACTACAGTGGGTGTATACATTGCAATCCTTTGCTGTCATCATCGTCCATTTCTTTTCTTCTAGAGCGCACCGATTGCTACATAAAACGGATAGTTGTATGGAGAATATCCGAGTGTCGTATTGTCACTCATTCCAGTGGGATTATCCGCCAAAGCGACGTACCGTCCCACAAATTTCAACAAGCCATCTCGCGTCAGCCGGCGCGCGCAGCTGCAAGCTGCCGCCAACGACCTGAACGTCAACCGAAAGTTCTCCAGCTCGAGCATTCGAGGTTCATCGTGCGCAAAGGCAATGTCATCAGTAAACTCCTTGGGACTCTCGACATCATGACGTGGCTGGCCCTCCGACCGGCCACCTTCGCGCGGGTGTCCGTGGGCCTGGCTTGCCGGCCGGGTCTGCGGCCCTATTCGGCTGGCGCCGGCCCCGGCATCTCGGACCCGCTCCGGATCCTCTTCTGCGGCTCCGACGACTTCAGCTGCGCGGCGTTGGACGCGCTCAACGCCGAGAAGGAGCGGAACCCCGGGCTCATCGAGTCACTCGATGTTGTCGTCCGACCGGGCAAGCTGTCGGGAAGAGGGATGAAGAAGATCCGCGAGGGTATGTGTCTCGACGCTCATCTCCCCTCTCGTCAGCAGGAATGAGTGGTGAGACTTGAGCTGACAATCCATACCTAGTGCCATTGAAGAAGCTAGCTGAAAAGCTTGAGTTGCCGATCCATGAGAGGGACACATTTACCGGGTGGCAGGTACCTTGGCCTACATCTCAAACCACTTACATTCGTACTGATGCACGTAGCCACGTAACGACGTTAACCTCATTGTCGCTGTCTCCTTTGGCCTCTTCGTTCCGCCAAGACTACTGAACTTGGCCAAATATGGTGGACTCAACGTTCATCCGTCCCTTCTCCCAGAGTAAATGGACTGTGATATCGTCCCCTGAACGTATGGCAACTGACACCACTCTCCCAGCTTCCGCGGCCCTGCGCCGCTTCAACACACCCTCCTCCAGCGTCGTACTCACACGGGCATAACCCTCCAAACCCTCCACCATAAAGCATTCGACCACGGCACCGTTCTCTCCCAGACGCCACTCCCCGGCATCCCGGTCCCAGAGGACTGCACCACGCAACGCTTGCACGACATCGTCACCCCGCTCGCCGCCGAGATGCTCGTAGACGGCCTGCGGAAGGGGCTGCACGTTCCCCCACTGAAAACCGTCGGCTGGCAGCCTAACGAAGATGAACGGAAGCAGCTCAGCCACGCGCCCAAGGTGACGAACCACGACCGCCAAATGAACTGGCCCAAATGGGCCGCCGACGATGTCGTGCTGCGTCAGCGCGTGCTGGGGCCAGTTTGGTGTTCGGCGTACCACCACGGCAGCCGGAAAATCATGAGGCTCAAGTTCGGCGACGCCGAGGTTGTCGAGCGTCCCGACCGGATCGACCAGTACTACCGACGACGCTCCCTCCGCAAGAGGGGTGAGCTTTCTGCCGAGGATGTTCCCGAGGAGGACCAAGACGTGGAGATGATTTCCTGGGTCTGGCAGCCGGAAGGGAAAGCACAGGACCGCGAGTCGTGGATGGCCTGTCGCACCCCTTTCTTTGAGCACGAGGACGGGGAAAGCATTCTGATCCCCACTGCGGGTGGCAGTTGCCTCAAGCTGTCGACTATCACCGTCGAAGGTTCTCGGTCCAAGCCTGCAGTCACAGCAGTCAGTGGTTTCGGCAAAGTCGTCAGAGACGAAGACGACGACGGCAACAGACCAGACGGCTTAGGCGATGTCTGGGGGCCATCAATAGTTGGGGATCTCGTATTTTCCATTTTCGATCCCTAAAAGGGTTCGAGTAGGTTTAGATCGGTGTTGCTGTATACTACCAAAGGGTGCGATATTAGGGGTACTACGGGTACTATCTCAGCGTAACAGCTGCCAAACGCTAGTGTACCGAATAGTGTATATTATAAAGACACATCTCTTGGAATTTGGGTTCAAACAACCATATTCTCATGGTAATCTCCGGAGGTATGGTACTTCGATGACTTTCCAGTTCCTAGCCCCGGCTATTGTGTGCTCTCTAGAACGGGTTTAGACAACCGTAATGCTTGTTCAGTAAGTCGAGATTCAGCCATCACAGTTGTTATATTGTGTTGTTTCAGGGCAGACGCATCGTCCTATTGCCATTGTAACTGGCTTTGTCCAGCACTGGATCCGGCAGGTTCCTGTTTTGCTCGAGTACCTACATAAGGCAAGGGCGATACAGAGCACCTTGTAACTTGGAACGACCGCTCTTTCCTCGAAAGCACTTTTACTTCTCTCAGCCCAAAACAGAAGTCTTGCGCCGAAGTTGTTTCTTTTCCTTCTTCACCGACCTTCGTACACAAATACCTAGTGCATCCTTCCCCCTTCCTTCCCTATTCTTTCCCCTTTACCTTTCCGCCAACACTCACGGCTCGACTTCCGTCTCTGCAAGGGAAGGTAAGTACAATTAAGCATTGTTTTGTGTGAATAACCAGTCAGAAACAATGGAAACTAACGCTCTCAAAGGTCCTTCTTCGGCCTCTCCAGCCAATCGGCCGCCCGCATCAGCACACACCTTTCTTAGGTACGTCAGGGACAACATGACGTTTCCAGAGGTGGTTGAAACTGCCGTCATGCGATCCAGTGACTCTTCGGGAGAAGAAGAACCTCATACTGTCCACCACTTGCCTGGCATACGCTCGTTTCCGGGAACCAAGACTCTCGTGTGTGTGTCAGGACAGCAACATAATGAGCAGACAAGCGACAAGCAGATTCAACAATTCTCTCCTCCAGCTCAGCAGGTCGACCAGTCCATGACGCAATGTGAGGCACCTTATATAGCCTCGACAGCCAAACAGCCGAGCCCGTTCAGAAACCCATTTGCTCCGCCGTTGGAGATAGACAATAATCCTGTCTTCCGCCGATCAGCTGCACCGATGCCAGCTCCGGAGAGTCATGCCGATACGTTCCCCGCGCAAATCCATCGAACGTCTTCTGTGCCCCGATCGACCGCGCCGTCCTTGAGCAATCACTCGGCGACTATGAGAAGTCAATCCAGCGATCAGCAGGACAGCCTCATGCAGCCAGAAAGTGCCCCTAGAAATCTGAATTTGAACGACCACGAGAAGTCTTTGGCGCAATTTGATTATTTTCACAACACAAACTCGGATGATCTAGAGGAGAAGCACCTTCCTAGTATGCGAAGCCCGTCATGGTCGCCATTGACAACGCCCCCGGAATCTCCGCTTGCGCCAACGACTGACATCGTTGACGAATACTTCGGCTGTTGTCAGACCTCTTCTCGGCGGACTTCACCGGTTGCACGACAGTCACGCAACCAAAATCTCGATTCCGAGACGGCCGTCCGGCGAGAAGGACTCAACAATCGTCCACCCCGCACCCCGTCCCCGTCCCCTCAAAGACCCAGCAAATCCAAGCCCCTGAATCCCCGAGATCGGGTAAAAGGACAGAACGGACGGGCTGACGCCAATAGGGGTCGTCGGCAAGCAGTTCCCACGCGCTGGTCGCCAGTTATTCCGTGGTCTCCCAACCGGAAAGCGTCTTTCCATTACGATTTGCAACAGAGGCTCGCTGCCGCCACTCGTGGGGCCCATATCGACAACGGCCTCCTCAAAGTGTCCCTTGAGAATTTTGACATTTAGGCTGGCTTTTTCTTGGTACATCATGGAATACGGACGGATCTCTTCGGACTGCTTCGCAAGCCTGATTTTTGTTTTTGCGACAGTGAGTCTTGCGTCGTTTCCTGGTTTGCGGATCCCGGTCTGTGGCTTACAGTTTCAGTTACTTCCAGGCATGGAAACACCTGCCTATGGTTCCCGGCCTGGAATAGCTTCTTTTCAAGAATTCCTACGCTGACTGCTCAATCTTCTTTTTACCTGGTTGGTAGGTCCACCAACCCATTATCTTTTGGCTCGAAGTACTGACTTCAGTTCAACGAGCTTTGGTATTTCTTGCTCAACTTGAGTTACGCGTCGTCCCGTGGTGCGAGCCAGATTTGACCTACGTTTCTATTTATAGACTTGAGCAGCCCCAAAGACTCGGGATGGTGTCCCCATTTTTCACAAGTGCTATCCGTACCGTACTGAGAGTTACCAAAGTTTTATGGATACACTAGAAGAGTCACAGTCACAGAAGTCTCCAGACTCGATCCAAATTTAGCCGGACGGCGGAACGCGAGTCGGGTCACACAAATGAACTGGTAACGACAGTAAATTTCGATATTCTTCTTTGCTCTACTAACAAATTACTCCTGAACCGTTCGCTCATTACTCATGAACTTTGATAATAACTTATAGCTCATTTAACGTAGAGCTGACGTGAGTCAGTTCGACGCCGAGCCATTCGAATGAGTGAAACACTAAGATGTCATCCCGCGACTGTCAACTATGGCTTTGTACAAGACGCGCATGTATCATTGCAGCGAATGATACCTGTCGCTCCCACGTCGTCGCTTCGGACGAACGACTAAATAAGCCCTGCAATGGAGCTCCAGCTCAGTAATGAAATCCACTTTACATCAACAAGCCAACAACAACGCTGAGTATGGCAGCCAAGCTGAGAGCACCAGCGGCTCTGACACCAGCGGCGCCGCTGTCGATGCCGTTCTTGGTGCCGTCCGTCTTGCCACCATTGCCCGAGTTGCCGCCCTTGCCGTCCTTGAGCTGCTTGCATACGCTCATGAGTGTTGAGTTGTTCATCATCTCGTTGAGCTGGGCCTCCTTCTTGGCGGCCTTGGCCTTGAAGTTTTCGATCTTGGTGGTGTTGCCGTTGAACTTGTCGTTCAAGGCAGTGTCGTTCTTTGAAAGAGCAACGATCTTGCTGTGAAAGTTGGCGCGGTTAGCTGGTGTCTATTGCAGGGTTACTAATAAGGTCTTGAAGGTGCTCTTACCTTAGCCTGTTCATCTTCTTGCAATCTCCCTTGGTGGTCATCGCCGCGCAGTACTGGAGAAGGGTCTGGTTGCCCTGAAGTTGGGTGAGCTTGGCCTGGCCCTGTTGGGCCCAACTCTTGAGCTTGTCGGCCTTGGTGGCGTTGTTCTTTGTGACCTCGTTCAGAGCAGTCTCGTTGGCAACCAGCTTTTGCAACCTTTCCATACGCTTCATGAAGCGGCACTGTCCATTCTCCTGCTGAATGGCGCGGACCTGGTCGCAAGTCGCCATCAAGGTTGCGTTTTGCTTGGCCGTGTCGATCTGGGGCTGGACCTCAGCCGCCTTCTTCTTGATGAAGTCAATTCTCGTGGCGTTGTTGTTCGTGATCTCTGCCAGGAGAGTGTCGTTGGCAGCAAGCTGCACCAGCCTCTCGTTCTTCAGGAAGCGCTTGCACTGAGCCTCTGTCGAGTTTTGGCCGCTTGCATGCTGGTCCTTGGCCAGGACCGCAAGGGACAGGAGGGGCATGAGGAAGAATGAAAGCTGCATGTTGGCGGTTGACGATGAGGAACTGTATAAGCGCTGATGATGGTGTTGAGAAGAAGGCGGTCCGGCCGCGATAAGGAATGAAGTAATAAAAGAAGAGAAGGGATCTGGATATAGTGACCACAGAGCTCAGAACGGACGGAGAGGAGGGCAGGGAAGAGACGGCTTAGTCTTATACAAAACCCTCTTCTACACCCCATGCATACGACTGGCCACCATACCCTGTCGGCCTGCAACCTTCCTTGGGCTTTCGTCCGATTGGTAGCCTGCGTTCCCCTCTACGGCACTCGCACGAAACCAAAAGACCAAACGCGGACTGGATAGGAGAATGCCCGCCGGCTGTTGAGCGAATGGTTCTTCAAATGGCATGTCTCGTTCCCCTCTTCCGCTACGCTGCGACTGGCCGGCAGAGTCCGCCAGCAACGCTGTTTCGCGCTCTCGCTCTCGACTCTCTCTTGGGAAAGGACGGGACTGAGTTAGATGATGATGAGAGAGGGAAACCCAAATGCCCAAAAAGGCAACTGCCGCCAACTCAGATGGCCCTCGGCGGTAACTACCACGTCGCGTCTTGGCTCGAGCTTTGTTTCCCCGTCTTGCATCTGTTTGATCTCTCGGTAGTATCTGCCGTCGACAAATCAAATCGCAATGGTCTGAACCTCGACCAAGCGTTACGAAAACGACAGTACCTAGTCTTTTCATTTTTTTCTCTTCTTTTTCTTTTTCGGTTTCCCCCATGTTCAAGATTTCTGTTCCACGCTATCGACCTGACGTGTCATCTCCCGCCCCGGGAAATGGGCGGGAAGCGCCGTGTCGAAGAAAAAGAAAACCATCACAAACCCCCCCCACTCTCTCGCACTTGAGCTCGATACCTATATTTTATTAGAACGCCAGACGCATACCACGTATACCCATGGAATATTGATGGTGTGGCATCTGGATGACGCAGGATTACTACGACGCCCAATCCCCCGTGAGTATCTTTCAGTGCCTCAAGATGAGGCTCAAACGACACGTTTTTGGCGAGCCCCCCTCTTTCTCCAACGTCCATCCCGGCACCCACGCATTGTCCGTTTCAGACACCCAAGCCCGGACGCGGCGAAACACTGTTGAGCGATCGACAGCCCAACCAGAACCATGGAGAAAACCAGGGCTAGCTCGCGTGTCGTGCCATCTCGGTATTCAGGCACGCCCCAAGTTTAGGAACCCAGGTAGGGGCCAATCGAGCTGGTGTGGAACGTCCGCATTCCCATGGTGTCTCTCTGCCGGCGGCCCACGGCCAGCCCGGTCCAATCGATTCCCTAAGGCACCGCTAGCCAAATTGCCCCCAGCCCCAGAAACCGATGCGTCCATTTTCGGACTACCTACAGCGGTGCCGTTCGGTCCAGGAA